CAGCGATCACTGCCTTATTGCCTGCGTCCGTAACGGGTCCGCGGTCAAACGACCACCCCTCATCACTGTCAAACGCTCCCAAAAACACTTCAGCGAGCAGGCCTTCCTAATTGACCTGGCCCAGGTATCCTGGATGGATATAGATCTCATTCCGTCAGTATAGGATGCCTGGTTGTTCTTTAAAAGTAATTTCCTCTCAATCTTAAATAGACATGCCCCATTCAAAAAATACAGAACTAAGAACTGATATAGCCCCTGGTTCTCCTCAGACTTGACTGCCCTTGACCAGCACAAAAACATCCTGTGGCGTACTGCATTAGCATCAAATAGCCCCCGCGATATGCAACTTTTTAGGGAAGTTAGGAACCAATATACACAAGCAGTTAGGAAAGCAAAGGCTAACTTTTTCAAACAGAAATGTGCATCCTGTAGCACTAACTCCAAAAAGTTTTGGGACACTGTATAGTCCATGGAAAATAAGAGCACTTCCTCCCAGCTGCCCACTGCACTGAGGCTAGGAAACACTATCACCACCGATAAATCTACAATAATCGAGAATTTCAACAAGCATTTTGCTACGGCTGGCCATGCTTTCCACCTGGCTACCACTACCCCGGCCACCAGCTCTGCACCCTCCGCTGCAACTTGCCCATGCCCCCCCCCGCTTCTCCTTCACACAAATCCAGACAGCTGATGTTCTAAAAGAGCTGCAAAATCTGGACCCCTACAAATCATCTGGGCTAGACAATCTGGACCCTTTCTTTCTAAAACTAGCCGCCGAAATTGTCGCAACCCCTATTACTAGCCTGTTCAACCTCTCTTTCGTAACGTCTGAGATCCCCAGAGATTGGAAAGCTGCCGCGGTCATCCCCCTCTTCAAAGGGGGTGACACTCTAGATCCAAACTGTTACAGACCCATATCCATCCTGCCCTGCCTTTCAAAAGTTTTTGAAAGCCAAGTCAACAAACAGATCACCGACCATTTCGAATCCCACCGTACCTTCTCCGCTATGCAATCCGGTTTCCGAGCTGGTCATGGGTGCACTTCAGCCACGCTCAAGGTCCTAAACGATATTATAACCGCGATCGATAATAGACAGTACTGTGCAGCCGTTTTCATTGACCTGGCCAAGGCTTTCGACTCTGTCAACCACCGCATTCTTATTGGCAGACTAAATAGCCTTGGTTTCTCAAATGACTGCCTCGCCTGGTTCACCAACTACTTCTCAGATAGAGTTCAATGTGTCAAATTGGAGGGCCTGTTGTCTGGACCTATGGCAGTCTCTATGGGGGTGCCACAGGGTTCAATTCTTGGGCCAACTCTTTTCTCTGTGTATATCAATGACGTCGCTCTTGCTGCTGGTGACTCTCAGATCCACCTCTACGCAGACGACACCATTTTGTATACATCTGGCCCTTCATTGGACACTGTGTTAACAAACCTCCAAACGAGCTTCAATTCCATACAACACTCCTTCAGTAGCCTCCAACTGCTCTTAAACACTAGTAAAACTAAATGCATGCTCTTCAACCGAACGCTGCTTGCACCCGCCCACCCGACTAGAATCACTACTCTCGACGGGTCTGACCTAGAGTATGTGGACAACTACAAATATCTAGGTGTCTGGTTAGACTGTAAACTCTCCTTCCAGACTCACATTAAGAATCTCCAATCCAAAGTTAAATCTAGAATCGGTTTCCTATTTCGCAATAAAGCCTCCTTCACTCATGCTGCCAAACATGCCCTCGTAAAACTGACTATCCTACCGATCCTTGACTTCGGCGATGTCACTTACAAAATAGCCTCCAACGCTCTACTCAGCAAATTGGATGTTGTCTATCACAGTGCCATCCGTTTTGTCTCCAAAGCCCCATATAATACCCACCACTGTGACCTGTACGCTCTTGTTGGCTGGTCCTCACTACATATTCGTCGCCAAACCCACTGGCTCCAGGCCATCTATAAATCACTGCTAGGCAAATCCCCGCCTTATCTTAGCTCATTGGTCACCATAGCAACACCCACCCGTAGTCTGCGCTCCAGCGGGTATATCTCACTGGTCATCCCCAAAGCCAACACCTCCTTTGGCCGCAATTCCTTCCAGTTCTCTGCTGCCAATGACTGGAACAAATTGCAAAAATCTCTGAAGCTGGAGACACTTATCTCCCTCACTGACTTTAAGCATCAGTTGTCAGAGCACCTTACCGATCACTGCACCTGTACGCAGCCCATCTGAAATTAGCCCGCCCAACTACCTCATCCCTATATTGTTATTTATTTTGCTCATTTGTACCCCAGTATCTCTATTTGCACATCATCTTTTTTTTATTTTTTATTTCACCTTTATTTAACCAGGTAAGCCAGTTGAGAACAGGTTCTCATTTACAGCTGCGACCTGGCCAAGATCAAGCAAAGTAGTGCAATAAAAAACAACACAGAGTTACATATGGGGTAAAAAACATAAAGTCAGAAATACAACAGAAAATATATATACAGTGTGTGCAAATGTAGCAAGTTATGGAGGTATGGCAATAAATAGGCTATAGTGCAGAATAATTACAATAGTATTAACACTGGAATGCTAGATGTGCAAGAGATTATGTGCAAATAGAGATACTGGGGTGCAAAAGAGCAAAATAAATAACAATATAGGGATGAGGTAGTTGGGTGGGCTAATTTCAGATGGGCTGTGTACAGGTGCAGTGATCGGTAAGGTGCTCTGACAACTGATGCTTAAAGTTATTGAGGGAGATAAGAGTCTCCAGCTTCAGAGATTTTTGCAATTCGTTCCAGTCATTGGCAGCAGAGAACTGGAAGGAATGGCGGCCAAAGGAGGTGTTGGCTTTGGGAATGACCAGTGAGATATACCTGCTGGAGCGCAGACTACGGGTGGGTGCTGCTATGGTGACCAATGAGCTAAGATAAGGCGGGGATTTGCCTAGCAGTGATTTATAGATGGCCTGGAGCCAGTGGGTTTGACGACGAACATGTAGTGAGGACCAGCCAACAAGAGCGTACAGGTCACAGTGGTGGGTAGTGTATGGGGCTTTGGAGACAAAACGGATGGCACTGTGATAGACTACATCCAATTTGCTGAGTAGAGTGTTGGAGGCTATTTTGTAAATGACATCGCCGAAGTCAAGGATCGGTAGGATAGTCAGTTTTACGAGGGCATGTTTGGCAGCATGAGTGAAGGAGGCTTTGTTGCGAAATAGGAAGCCGATTCTAGATTTAACTTTGGATTGGAGATTCTTATGTGAGTCTGGAAGTTGAGTTTACAGTCTAACCAGACACCTAGGTATTTGTAGTTGTCCACATACTCTAGGTCAGACCCGTCGAGAGTGGTGATTCTAGTCGGGTGGGCGGGTGCCAGCAGCGTTCGATTGAAAAGCATGCATTTAGTTTTACTAGTGTTTAAGAGCAGTTGGAGGCTACTGAAGGATTGTTGTATGGCATTGAAGCTCGTTTGGAGGTTTGTTAACACAGTGTCCAATGAAGGGCCAGATGTATACAAAATGGTGTCGTCTGCGTAGAGGTGGATCTGAGAGTCACCAGCAGCAAGAGCGACATCATTGATATACACGGAGAAAAGTGTCGGCCCAAGAATTGAACCCTGTGGCACCCCCATAGAGACTGCCATAGGTCCAGACAACAGGCCCTCCGATTTGACACACTGAACTCTATCTGAGAAGTAGTTGGTGAACCAGGCGAGGCAGTCATTTGAGAAACCAAGGCTATTTAGTCTGCCAATAAGAATGCGGTGGTTGACAGAGTCGAAAGCCTTGGCCAGGTCGATGAAGACGGCTGCACAGTACTGTCTATTATCGATCGCGGTTATAATATCGTTTAGGACCTTGAGCGTGGCTGAAGTGCACCCGTGACCAGCTCGGAAACCGGATTGCATAGCGGAGAAGGTACGGTGGTATTCGAAATGGTCGATGATCTGTTTGTTAACTTGGCTTTCGAAAGGCAGGGCAGGATGGATATAGGTCTGTAGCAATTTGGATCTAGAGTGTCACCCCCTTTGAAGAGGGGGATGACCGCGGCAGCTTTCCAATCTCTGGGGATCTCAGACGTTATGAAAGAGAGGTTGAACAGACTAGTAATAGGGGTAGCGACAATTTCGGCAGCTAGTTTTAGAAAGAAAGGGTCCAGATTGTCTAGCCCAGCTGATTTGTAGGGGTCCAGATTTTGCAGCGCTTTCAAAACATCAGCTGTCTGAATTTGTGTGAAGGAGAAGCGGGGGGGGGCATGGGCAAGTTGCAGCAGAGGGTGCAGAGTTGGTGGCCGGGTTAGTGGTAGCCAGATGGAAAGCATGGCCAGCTGTAGCAAAATGCTTGTTGAAATTCTCGATTATTGTAGATTTATCAGTGGTGATAGTGTTTCCTAGCCTCAGTGCAGTGGGCAGCTGGGAGGAAGTGCTCTTATTCTCCATGGACTTGCACATCTATCATTCCAGTGTTAATACTAATTGTAATTATTTTGCACTATAGCCTATTTTATTGCCTTACCTCCATAACTTGCTAAATTTGCACACTGTATATTATATGTATTTCTGTTGTATTTTTGACTTTGTTTTGTTTTACCCCATATGTAACTCTGTGTTGTTGTTTTTATCGCACTGCTTTGCTTTATCTTGGCCAGGTCGCAGTTGTAAATGAGAACTTGTTCTCAACTGGTTTACCTGGTTAAATAAAGGTGAAAAAAAATAAAAAAAATAAAAAAATATATATATCGTCACGCAACGTAGCAAACGTTGAAAGGAACTGAACGCACCCCAGGTGTGACATTGCGTTACGTGTGTCTCTTTCCTTTCCCCTTGTATTTGGCGACCTCTAGCGCATGAGAAGAGAACGGCAGGCAATACCTGAAATATCATGCAGGTGGCACCAAATAACGTAGTAATGTCAAGTAGGGGGCGGGACCAATGCTCTGATTGGGTCAACTCGAGTCCCTCAAAAGCTGGCAAAACATAGCTGCTAATTAGCTAGCTTTGCTAACAGCCAGTTACAGGCTAATGGGGACATGGCTTAGCGTGGTCCCCCCTATTACATCGACAATCATATAGCTGTATTTTTTATTATATACATCTCATTTACGTTTTTGTATTCCTTGTAAACGTACTTGATTCATGCAAACTCTCGTGCGTTGGACTTAGCACCTCTTGACATCAACACGGCTCAGCTCAACCGGTGCAGGTACAGTAGGTCCTTTATGTTTAGCAGCGCGTTAGCTCGGTGGCTGGCTAACCCAACAGCTCTTTTGAAAATACATCGATATATCGATGTAACAAAAACGATCTATTGGCTTGCATTATAAATTATATAAATGCATGTGTGTTTTAAAGTTAATTTGATATAATTAGCTAGCAACCAGAAGCTGCAATTATCTTTACCTGTAAATGTTGGCGGCATTCAATGAAACTGAACGAGTGTAGGGGAAGATGTTCCTAGCCTGTAATTTGTCAGCCTTCAATGCTTCGGCCGTAATTTTAGGACATTTATTTATTCATCATGGCAGTGTTATTGATGATAAACATGGGAGCTTGCTAGTTAGTTGATCTAGCCATAAAATATATTCAACCGCCGTCTATATGGCCTTTATTGGCATCCAAACGTAGCGAAGTAGCTAGTTGCCTGATCAAATTGATTAGCTATCCCCCCACGATTAGCTCGCAGTTTGGGTGTTTGTTCGGATGATTGATTACTAGCTCATCAACTGCTAATCTCACAACAGTAGTCCAGCTAATAATGAGCCATTTTACGCAACGCTGTGACTAAAAAAAACACTTTTCAACCATGATCTGTAACTCTCTGAGTGTCTGTACCGTCCCAAGATATGCATGGTTTGTTGTTCCTTGCGCGAGCTGCTGATCGAAACATTATCTGCCCCTAGCGGACCGGGAGCAACATGGTAGTTCCGGACAGCGCCGGTGAGGTCCAACCAGCAGGCAATGACGGTACCGGGGGTCTTATGAAGAACTCCCAGCCGAGCTACGAGGAGGAGCAGGAGCTAGCAGGGGTGGAGTTGGAGGAGGTGCGTAAGCTCCAGGAGCTCATTCGAAGACTCGAGGTCCAGAATCAAACACTCCGCAACAGAGGAGGCAGTAAGAATCTACATCTCGGAGGAGCGACCACCACAAACAACAGTAACCTCACAACCAGTACCAACATCAATGAGAGAATCTCATCCTGCCAAGGGGTGATCAACACCAACTCCCCTCTCAGGTTGGGGAGCAGTGGAAGTTGTGGAACGGAGCTAGGCAGCAGCAGTGACTTGGAGCTGTCCCCTCCTCAGGACTGTAGTAGCAGTGAGGATATGTCCCCGCTCCCTGTAGCTAACCGGATAGAGGAGGAGGGGGAGGAGGATGGTGGACTGTGTGCAGGCTTTCTGACCCTGCCGTGCGGGAACGGACCGGGACAGGAGCAGACCCAGGGGCTAAGCCCAACCCCAGAGAGTCCCTCTCTGGACAGCTATGAGTCTGAGACCCTGGCGGAGAGCGATTCAGGGGTGGACCAGTTAGCTCTGGATGAGGTGGATGTTCTGGACCTAGAGGAGGACTTTGCAGAGGTGGATGGTGAGGACAGCTGGTAGGTACCATGGTGATAGGAGATGGTGAGGACAGCTGGTAGGTACCATGGTGATAGGAGATGGTGAGGACAGCTGGTAGGTACCATGGTGAGGACAGCTGGTAGGTACCATGGTGAGGACAGCTGGTAGGTACCATGGTGATAGGAGATGGTGAGGACAGCTGGTAGGTACCATGGTGATAGGAGATGGTGAGGACAGCTGGTAGGTACCATGGTGATAGGAGATGGTGAGGACAGCTGGTAGGTACCATGGTGATAGGAGATGGTGAGGACAGCTGGTAGGTACCATGGTGATAGGAGATGGTGAGGACAGCTGGTAGGTACCACGGTGATAGGAGACGGAGAGAGCGAAAGGATGCATGTGAAATTCCACCCTATTTCCTATATAGCTAATGCAGTACTTTTGACCAGGGCCTGCATAGGTCTCTCATCGAAAGTAGTGCACTATATAGGGAATGGAGTGCCATTTCGGATGCAGCCAAATGTCCTCTGCACACGGTATGGAAGGTCCCGTACCTGTTTATTTGCTATGCTTTGATCATAACGGGTCTTAGTCCACCTTAGGTGTGTGCCACGTGTGCATGTCTACTGTCTCTTTCTGCTGCTATACCTGCAGATTCTGCACTCTGTGCTATGTCATGAAACAACTGTTCAGATTACATTTATTCCCAGTAGATCTGCATTCCCAGTAGACACTAGACATGCATTCTGATCACTGCAGATGAAGGAGAGGAACACACATTTACATTTACATTTTAGTCATTTAGCAGACGCTCTTATCCAGAGCGACTTACAGTTAGTGAATACATATTTTTTTTATACTGCCCCCCCGTGGGAAACGACGTAGAGTAATATTCACTAGTCTGCACCCCACATGTAGAGTAATATTCACTAGTCTGCACCCCACATGTTGGAGTGGAGACATCTGTTCACCACTGTCTCCAGGGTGATGAAAGGTCCTTTAGCCAGATGAGTCATTATGGTACTGTTCTGTTCAACCTTTCACTCCTATAAGTAGAGGCACTATGACTGCAACCTTTAGTCATACAAAAATGTTAATTTGGCCAGGGTTACGTCCCAAACGGCACCCTATTCCCTACACAGTGCACTTCTTTTGACCAGAACCCTATGGGCCCTAATGCACTATGTAGGGAATAGGGCACTATTTGGGATGCAGCCCTAGGTTGGAGGTGGGTCTCTGCTGTGGCAGTTGACCTGGTTTCCGTGATACGTAACAACCAGAGGAAAACGTGCAGAAAATGCATGCAGGTGTTATGCAGCGGAGCTAGTAGGCTACAGCAGCCTTTAGATGGAAATATCTGAGCTCTGCTTCTGCTTTGGAAATGCTCGGCTTTGTGGGCTGTGACAGGCAGTGCCTCTGATCACTGGATCTATGTGACTAGGAGAGAGAATTAATTGGGGACAGAGAGAAAATAGGGGGTAGTGTGGAGCAAAAGGATGGATAGTGATTGAGGGGGAGACCGAAATGGAAAGAGAGAGGGAGCATCATGCTCTAGTCTAGAGGGAGAGGGGCACAGAGGGAGAGAGGCCAATGTTGTCGCTGGGTTAAGGGCAGCCAGCCAACCTGATTTACTCTGGGTATTGTGTGTGTGTGTCAGCAGCAGTAGTGTTGTCCTCCTCTGACGTGAACACCCAGAGAGGGAGGAGGAGGCTTGAGCTCAGAGCCAGAGCTAGCACCGCTGGGCCTCTCAACGTTCAAGGAGACATGGGTCCTATTCACTAGGTACCAAACCGGATAAAATGGACTGAAACGGGGAGGGACTACCTGAGCTTGTCCAATAAGAAAGGCTTGTTAGTTTTCCGTTTTTAAAGCATTTTGCTACTGTGGGCCCTAAAATACAGCCATAGGTACTAATACATAGAGCCATAGGTACTAATACATAGAGCCATAGGTACTAATACATAGAGCCATAGGTACTAATACATAGAGCCATAGGTACTAATACATAGAGCCATAGGTACTAATACATAGAGCTATAGGTACTCCAATGGCATGACTTGACTTATTGCTTCTTGGCAAAGTTCAAAAGGACACACACACACACAGTGACTTGTTATGTGCCCCTGTTAAACTGTGATGATTCAAGGCTGCAGTCAATGCATCATTTTCCACAGCCAGAGAAGTGGAAACAAGGCGTTAGTTGTCCTGTTTATCCCACATGCAGAGTGCCTAGGTTAGTCCTAGTTCAGTCACTACTCAGGGCTTCTACTACTGCTGGCAAAGTCCTGGAAGTCACTACTATATTTTGCATCATTCAAATGATCAAATGAATGTCAGCCCTGTACTGTTGTTACTGAGTTCCTGTGTCTAGTCAGGGTTCTTCTGTTGTGGAGGAGGAGGAGCTTGGCTTGTTTACCAGAATTTAATTAACACGATTGGATTACCTCAAAATGTTTGTAATGGCAGACTGCTAATTCCCATATAATCCATTAAAATGTAATGTTCCCTCTGTACGCCACAAGGTTAATCTAGGCCTGTGGCTTGTGTGTGTTTGCCAAGTCCAGGGTGTTGTTCTAAACCCATTATGCATTTGTTTACCCATCCCATTTTATACAGTATTGTCCGACACAAACAGGTGCCATATTGTATTCCTGGTAGCTACTTTAGCAGCTGATCTGTGGATTAACAATCCCACTACCACATCATTAGCCAGTCTGTATTAGGTCCAGGAGGTTCCCACTACCACATCATTAGCTAGTCTGTATGAGGCCCAGGAGGTTCCCACTACCACATCATTAGCCAGTCTGTATGAGGCCCAGGAGGTTCCCACTACCACATCATTAGCCAGTCTGTATTAGGTCCAGGAGGTTCCCACTACCACATCATTAGCCCGTCTGTATGAGGACAGGAGGTTCCCACTACCACATCATTAGCCAGTCTGTATTAGGTCCAGGAGGTTCCCACTACCACATCATTAGCCAGTCTGTATTAGGTCCAGAAGGTTCCCACTACCACATCATTAGCCAGTCTGTATGAGGTCCAGGAGGTTCCCACTACCACATCATTAGCCAGTCTGTATGAGGTCCAGGAGGTTCCCACTACCACATCATTAGCCCGTCTGTATGAGGTCCAGGAGGTTCCCACTACCACATCATTAGCCCGTCTGTATGAGGTCCAGGAGGTTCCCACTACCACATCATTAGCCAGTCTGTATGAGGTCCAGGAGGTTCCCACTACCACATCATTAGCCAGTCTGTATGAGGTCCAGGAGGTTCCCATTACCACATCATTAGCCAGTCTGTATTAGGTCCAGGAGGTTCCCACTACCACATCAGTAGCCAGTCTGTATGAGGTCCAGGAGGTTCCCACTACCACATCATTAGCCAGTCTGTATGAGGTCCAGGAGGTTCCCATTACCACATCATTAGCCAGTCTGTATTAGGTCCAGGAGGTTCCCACTACCACATCAGTAGCCAGTCTGTATGAGGCCCAGGAGGTTCCCACTACCACATCATTAGCCAGTCTGTATGAGGACAGGAGGTTCCCACTACCACATCATTAGCCAGTCTGTATGAGGCCCAGGAGGTTCCCACTACCACATCATTAGCCAGTCTGTATGAGGACAGGAGGTTCCCACTACCACAACATTCAATAAATAATAAGCCCAGGCATGGACCCCTAAGCTGCTTTGGGCTGGATTCTAGGGCTCAGGGCTTAATCCCAAATGGCACCCTATTCCCTTTATAGTGCACTACTTTTGACCAGAGCCCTGTGGGTGTAGAGGACTATATAGGGTGCCATTTGGGCTGGAGGCTGCTGGGGGCTAAACTGCTTTGAGGGAACTTAGGCTGCATGTGATCCGTCATGGACCTTCTGGTACTTAAAACATTTACTGAGAGCTTTGTTTTGTGTGCAGATGATGGCGTGCCTACTGGTATTTCTATCTATGTAAAACAAATAATTACTAATGGTCCATTTACCAAATGATCTGCCCTCAGAGCCTCTTCAACTGTAGCTCTGAGGATCAAACGATCTGACCGTTAAACAGCTAGCCTAACTAACTAGGCCTACTCGTTAGCATCAGCCACTGCTGCTCAGCTCTCCAATTGCCAGAAGTAAATCGTTCCAGGCTCAAGTTGTCTGACTTTATAGCCCTGACTGACTACTCTACCATCTGTTCTGTGTGTGAGAGAGGCATGGAGAATGTCTGTCTGTATTGTTGCTGGTCCCAGTGGGATAGAGGGCTTGTCTTTGTGTTTGTCCAATGGGAAGATGAGGCCAAGTTGATTACTCAAAAACCAGTTCGCACAGCCAGGCCTATTTGTGTGTTTCGCGCCTCAACGCATTCCCCATGTGACCCGGATCAAACGTCCTAACGGACTTGGCAGTTTGCTCTGCACGTTTTTCAAGGGGAGGGACTCCCTCAACTCAAACACTCATCGCTACATCGCTAGACTTCGCATGTACTCTAGAAACAGAATGCAGGACTATCAGGCCGATCACAGATGTTCAAGTCACACGTATTGATACCAGTTGAGCTCATCCCCTTGTCATGTGAGGTGGTGTGTAGTAGACTAGGCATGTTGTCTACAGTAGGCAAGACGTGCTGTAGATGTGCCTATTTCAGACAACTCATGCAGTAGAAGGTAATGCATGGTGATGGCTGGGAGAGGACCGGAGGACCGTACAGTAGAGCCCTCATTAGGAGATGGGGGCCATGATACTGCTGCTGCTGTGGAGGGAAGAGGTCACTGCCAGGGATGGGCTGAGCACACACAACACTGCTACTGCTGTGGACTGTGGTTATTGCCTGGGAACATGGGACAGGCTAGAATGGGCAGAACTAAATGGGTTGGGATGGAGTGAGATGGGCTGTGTGTGTGGAGTGGTGACCGTCTAGGTTTGAATAATTGGATGGGTTTAGGTCAAGAGACTGGCCTGACTGTACTGAAAGTATAACGTATCAATATCGTCCTGCTACAGTGTAGCCTACGGCTATGGCTTATGTATGCAACGAAGACATGTTGCTGTATGTTGGGTCAAGTGGAGTATTCGCTATGGCTAGCCTATTTCTAGTAGTAGATGATTAGTGTTATGAAGGATACTGTGGTTGTGTTCCACCATGCGTAGAAGGCATGCCTCCTGCAGACATTCCCACATACTAAAAGTTATTAAATGCATACCTGGCAGGCCAGATAACTCAATTAATACTGTGTTCCCATCCCACTGTTCTGCTGTTCGCTTGGCTGCAGGCAGGCTGGATAAACAGGCTTTGCAAAATGTAAATTCTCTCTGTCTCTCTCTCTCTCTCTCTATCCACCTCCTTTCTCCTCCTCTTCCCTTCATCACTCCCTGCCTCTCTCTCTCCCTCACCTCTCCACATCTCTCTCCTTCTCCCTGTTTTCTATCCTCATCTCTTTTCTCTCCACCCTCCCCCTCTCTCTCTCCCTCCCCCTCTCTCTCTCCCCTCCCCTCTCCTCTCCCTCCTCCCCTCTCCCTCCCCCCTCTCTCCCTCTCTCCCTCCCCCTCTCTCCCTCCCCTCTCCTCCCCCTCCTCTCCCTGCAGGTTGTATGTCTCCCCTAAGAAGCAGGTAGTTGCTGAGCCCAGGCCTGAGTCTCCTCTGAAGTGGTGTCGGAAGGTTCTGGACCACCCCACCCCAGAGACGGAGGTGGCCTGTCGTACCCTGCTCAACCGTCTCGACCAGGGTACGCACCTACCTAGTAACCTTATGATAACCATATAACAACTCTAAAGTAACTATACTATAGTAACCTTATACTAACCATGTCATAACATGTACAATAACCTTATAGGAATCCTACAACTTTAATAATAGCCATATACAACCTTTTGATAACCATAAAAAAACATAACTGTATAATAACCTTACAATAACATTATAACAACTCTATAGGACTCCTTCTACAATAACCTTGCTTCCTGCCATTGCCCAGTAACCCTATAATAACCAACATCCTGTCCTACACCAATAACCTCATAACAAGCAATAAACTAATACAAAAATGGATAAACTTGCCACTGACCACCAGTGAATGCAGTCATAACACAGTATCTGAGGCAATAACCAGTTCGACCTCGTATCCAATTACCTAACATTATGACTAACTACTGTTCCCTGAAGGAGGGAAATGAGGTACAACACACTATGGGGAAATATAATCACGCCCCAAGCCGACCCCCCCCCCCCCAACGGATACTAAATGACCACCCAGACCTGACCCCGCCGGATGCGGCAGTTTGGGTATTACGCACACGGCGTGCTGCCTAGTGACTGTCCCCTGTCCCAGCCGTAAGCACACTGGGCTACACGGCGTGCTGCCTAGTGACTGTCCCCTGTCCCAGCCGTAAGCACACTGGGCTACACTGTCAGCAGTGACGTCCAAGCGACAAAACCTCACAGCCCAACTCTCCACAGCACAAATATCTCCTATAGTCAATCCTTTAAATGACGCCCAAGACGCTGCCAGACCCCTGGTGGAGTGGGCACATACACTGCTAGGTAACCCTTGACCCTTGCTGCTATATTCCAGGGAGAGCGCCCTGCCTCGAGCTGGTCACTACAGTTGAAGTCAGGCAACCCTGACATTTTAAAGAGAGTGTACAATTTTCAATGTAATGCATCTCAATAGGAAAATAGTGCTTTTACACAATGTAGAAATGTAATATTCCACAAATGACTTTGTAATTTCAATGACAGGTATTCATATCAACATTTTTAGCTTTTATAATAAACTAATGTCTTTACAGTGTTAAATATTAGTTTATAGGGCACAATGTGCTTCAAAAGTAGCTAGAATTCATATAGGCCCAATATAGGTTGCATCTCAATCAATAAAAAATATATTTTCTGGTGCTCTTAAATTTAATGTGGTGCTCCTAACTTTTAAGTTGTGAGCACCAGTGCTAAAAGCATTATTTAGAGGTGTGTGTGAGAGAGACGGCAGCTCAGCAACCACCAGTACTTTACCACTCAGTGAGTATTAGATCCAGCAGCACACCCCCATTCATTCATTATTTATTTATTTATGCGTCTACTTCCTGCAGATACTGACCTTCAACAACTGAGCCATTCACACCCAACCAGGGCCTGGCCCAATGACCACATGGTGTAGCGACTGGGCTGGCTCAGATAGTTTTATAGCACCAGAACACAGCTGTCTGTCAGGGCATGAAACTATCCACTTTAGAAGTGAAACGTTAACATGCACACCATTGTGGTACAGGAGATTACAGTCCCAGAGTTGACTTGATTGTAGAAAAGATTAAAGATGACTCCTGAACGTGCTAGATTACAAACTACCCACTGGCACAGGCAGCAGGCAAATATAGGAAGTCATTCACTAGGCTATAACCTACCCCATAGTAATGAGTCCTGTTATATAAGTGTGATATTGGATAGTTTCACCCTCCTAAACTTGTGTTGTTGTGGCCCATTGGCTCAGGCTCAATGACTGAGCCAATGGCAAACAGTGAATAGCAAACAATACTGCTTCCTGGATGAAGTAAATAAACCTATAGGAACCAGTGCCTTAGGAATAATGACCTGCCATAGCCTCATTGCTACCTCTCATAGCCTATAAGGGTGATGTAGAACGGGTACACCCTGCCAAACCTGTGTTGTTGTGGCCCATTGGCTCCGGCAATGAGTCTGAATGAAGGTAGTGGCTGACAATGAAGCTGTGTGAAGTCAGTAAATAATATAGACTCCAATGGGGCTGAATAGAATGAAGGTAGTGGCCAACAGTGTATAATAATAATATGCCATTTAGCAGACGCTTTTATCCAAAGCGACTTAGTCATGTGTGCATACATTTTTACGTATGGGTGGTCCCGGGGATCGAACCCACTACCCTGGCGTTACAAGCGCCATGCTCTACCAATTGAGCTACAGACAATGACACTTGATGAAGTGAACATATAGAACCCATTGCCCTAGGAATTAATGCTTTGTCATAGCCTCCATTGTATTGATATAGGACAGTAAGTTCTAAAATAATTTAAAATAATCCTCTGTCCTGCTTAAGACAAAACCAATGCATCTAGTCTCAACTGTCTTTTGCAACAGCTCAAAACGAACCAGCCACGGCCATTTAGAAACACTGATGAAAGTTGTAGATTCTATCTGATCAGGAATTACTTTTAAAGTTCTTGTTCACTTCAGACTCACTCCCACCCCAGTGTGTTTTTATATTTGTCTACAAGGCACATAGATGTTGGCCAAAAAAGTCCTAACACTCTCTAGTGAAGTAAACACTTCGCACAATACAGGCTGCTTTTTAAACTGGGCCTTGACTCTGTTTATGTAACTGTGTGTCTCCTCTCCTGTCTCCTCTCCTGTCTCCTCTCCTGTCTCCTCTCCTGTCTCCTCTCCTGTGTCCTCTCCTGTCTCCTCTCCTGTCTCCTCTCCTGTGTCCTCTCCTGTCTCCTCTCCTGTCTCCTCTCCTGTCTCCTCTCCTGTCCTCCTCTCCTGTCTCCTCTCCTGTCTCCTCTCCTGTCTCCTCTCCTGTCTCCTCTCCTGTCTCCTCTCCTGTCTCCTCTCCTGTCTCCTCTCCTGTCTCCTCTCCTGTCTCCTCTCCTGTCTCCTCTCCTGTCTCCTCTCCTGTCTCCTCTCCTGTCTCCTCTCCTGTCTCCTCTCCTGTCTCCTCTCCTGTCTCCTCTCCTGTCTCCTCTCCTGTGTGCCTTTAGCGTCTCGCTGGAGGAACATCTACAGCAGCTCTGGTCAGATGGGGGAGGCTGGCTCCTCTGGCTCTGGCCTCCTCTCTCCTGGGTACCACAACAAATCCACTACCAAAACCCTACTAGCCAGTGGTGTCTCAGGTACGCATGATATTAATACACCACATGCTTCTCTACATCCAGCTGCTCTCGCTCTCCACAGTGTTTTTAATTTTTGTGTTGGTGGAACTCAAGATACTACTTTATCAGATTAAAAAGAACTTGATAAGTTCTTAAATATGCACTCCAGCTATTTTGGAACTTTTCCTGTTGAAAACAATATCCCATGTATAAATACAGTAATCTGGACCACCTATAGAGATGGGCATTTTAAGTAAATCAGGTGATAAATGAGCTGAAAGGGAGACTGGAGTAGGACTTTAAAGTAACAAGTTTGTAAGGAGTGTTTTAATGTTTTCAATGTTTGTTTACAATATTTGCTGTTATCTGCAACGTTTCTTCAAAGGGTTGTTCTCCTCAACTCAACAACGTAAAGGGTCAAAGGTTGGATCTCTTCTGTATATTGGCCTACTACAGTGAAGATGCTGAATGGTATCTTGTATTATGCATTGATAATAATTTCACCAAAACTAATGGCATTTACAGGCTTGCTTTGCAGAGTGGTGTGGATATCAAATACTGTGATCCTTAGCGATACTGGGAAAACAAACATTTTAACTTCTCAGTGTGTGTGTGTGTGTGTGTGTGTGTGGCGCTATGTAAGCCAACACAATGCTTATGTTTTTATTATGAACACTGACTGTAAATAACTCTTTGCATGAAGTATGTAAATGTTTTGCTTGCTGGTGATCCCTCCTAATCCCAGATCTGTTATATAACCAAACACCCTGGATGCTGCTGTTGTTGCCTCTGTGTCGGTTTGAATGAAGGGTGTGTGGGTGTGTGTCAGACGATGGCCTTGCCTAGTAGACGCCTCATGCTTCCAGCTGTCCTCAGCACTGTGTCTAGACTAATACAGCAGGACAGACAGGGAAGTCATCTCCCCTCATAACGCAGTTACTGGTCCAGCCCTCCGTCTCTGATTTAGAGACTAATAAAGATAATTGACTACTGTATAGCTGTGGATGGATAATGTATAGTTGCATGTCCTTGGTTTTCAAGTTGTATTATAGTCCTTGTTTTTATCCCTCGAGGGGCAGTTGTGTGGGACAAACCTGTGGATGGATTCTGAAGGAGTGTGTGTGATCTAAATCCTGGTTGTGTTCTTGTGTTTCCAGGCTACATGAGTGTGCACTCGGCTCTGAGTTCCCAGTCTTCTATAGACAGTGAACTGAGTACCTCCGACGACTCCATCTCCATGGGTTACAAGCTACAGGACCTCACTGACGTCCAGATCATGGCCCGCCTACAGGAAGAGAGTGAGTGGTGTTGAATAATGACTGCCTTGATAATGTGTTTCAGGAAGAGAGTGAGTGGTGTTGAATAATGACTGCCTTGATAATGTGTTTCAGGAAGAGAGAGTGGTGTTGTGTTGAATAATGACTGCTGTGATAATGTGTTTCAGGAAGAGAGTGAGTGGTGTTGAATAATGACTGCTGTGATAATGTGTTTCAGGAAGAGAGTGAGTGGTGTTGAATAATGACTGCCTTGATAATGTGTTTCAGGAAGAGAGTGAGTGGTGTTGAATAATGACTGCTGTGATAATGTGTTTCAGGAAGAGAGTGAGTGGTGTTGAATAATGACTGCCTTGATAATGTGTTTCAGGAAGAGAGTGAGTGGTGTTGAATAATGACTGCCTTGATAATGTGTTTCAGGAAGAGAGTGAGTGGTGTTGAATAATGACTGCCTTGATAATGTGTTTCAGGAAGAGAGTGAGTGGTGTTGAATAATGACTGCCTTGATAATGTGTTTCAGGAAGAGAGTGAGTGGTGTTGTTTAGAATTCTGTTATGAAAGTCTAAAGGGATACGTCATTGTGATTGTCAAAATGCCACAGGTAACTTATAAAGGAGACTGAGAATATGCTGACTCATTGTGGTAGTGTTTGTGATGTGTGGGTGGGTGTGTCCATGTCTTTCAGAGTTTGTCCATGTAGATACTAGATACACACTTGAGTGATAATGCTAGAGAAGCCGGTGTTTGGAGGATATATTGGCACGGGCGTTGCGCGCCAATACATCCTCTAAACACCGGCTTCTCGGGCATTATCACTTTTATACAACGGGTTACCAACATATTCAAATAATGATTGACATATTTTCATTAAACTTTTATTTTGATGAATTTATTCATACAATTTCATCCTTCCACAAGATATAGTCCCGACACAAATCTAGGGTTGCTTGCTAGCCAACTACAGCTAATTTACAGTCACATCAAACAGTGCAGCCAATATAACAACAAAGTAGCTGCATTTGCATTTGTTTAAGCTGTTTTCTAGTGATAATTATTTGCATACATCCATAACAATGAGCTAATGAGGCGCGATTTCACCTGGCATAGAAAATGTGCTCTCTCGTCAGGACACTGTTATACGAGAGCTAGCCAACAACGCCCCTAACACAATCACTGCAAACTAGCTGCACTTCGTTTCGTTTTACCTGTTTTCTATTAATAGTTATTTGTATATATCCATAAAAACTATGCTGATTCATGATTTCGACTGGCTGAGAAACGCTGCCTGCCTGTCTGTCTCAACCCGACTTGCGATACGATCATTACTATGGGACAGCTGGAAATCGAATTTAAATATTGAAACAATGTTGCAAATGTTGGCTAGACAGACAGCAAGGTTTATACAAATCTCCGCTGTTAAACTAAATGTTAGTCTAAAAGAAATGGGGGATAATATATAGATGCTTTTTATAGTGGAGATCAAGTTTATAAATTGCCTGGCTGGGCTGATGAGACAGTGGATTGCGCAGTCAGATGAAACCGAGTAAATGGGCATTTTAACGTCATAGATTTAGCTGGTGGTAACTTGTGGAATAGACACCGGCTGGAATGCGGTTTCAACCAATCAGCATTGGTTTAGACCCACCCGTTGTATAAAATACAGTAGACCCTTGTTCTTTTATGTGTCCAGGCCCTGTAACTTTCTCTCTCTCTGTCTCCTCTCTCTCAGGTCTGAGACAGGACTATGCCTCCAGCTCTGCCTCAGTGTCTCGTCGTAGTTCCTCTGCCTCCCTCCAGTCTCTACGTCGGGGTGGGACCTACAGCGACCAGGAGTTTGATACCTACAGCCTGGAGGATGAGGAGGATGAGTGTTGCTCTCTGCCCCAGCGACGCCTCCGCTACTCCCCCTCTCCCCTGGGCTCACCCCGCTGCCTCTCCCCCTCCACGGGCTCCCAGGGCCAGACAGAGTACAGCAGGCTGGGGGCCCCCCGGCAACGCGCTCCACGCCGATCGCTACAGGGGCCCGGGCCCGAGCTGCTAAAGTTTGTCAAGACCGAGGGTAGGTGGAGACTGGAGAGGAGTGTTCATGCATCACACACAAACCGAACACATAGCAGTGTCTGTACACAGTCAAAACTACAGAGAATGATCAGTTAGATGTACTCTGTATTGTTTAAAGACATACTTATAAATCGATTAGTTCTATAGAACAGGGTTTCCCAAATTCGGTCCTGGGGGCCCCCCCCTGGGTTTTTGTCCTAGACCTACACAGCTGATTCAAATAACCAACTCATCATCAAGCTTTGATTATTTGAATCAGCTGTGTAGTGCTAAGGCAACAATCAAAACATGCACCCGGGGAGGGCCCCAGGACCGACTTTGGGAGACCTTGCTATAGAACGCAGTTTCAGTTCAGTCTTTCTCCAACTCAAGCCGTGTGTGTGTGTGTGGTTCCAGAAGAGTTGAGGCACAGCATGCCTAACCTGGCCCCCCGCACCAGCCTGCGTTCCCTGGAGGCGGTCAGGAACAGCCGCAGCATGGAGGCTAACCTCCAGAGCTCTGGCAACCGCATATCCCACCTGCCCCACGCCCCCTCCTCAGGTAACCCTCACCTACACCTGGCCTTTACCTTCCCCACTCTCTCAAGTGGAACCTGATACTGCCTACCGTATCCTGAGAGGTACAGAGGGAGCCTCTCTCACCTACCCTACTCCTCTCAGGTAACCCTAAACTGTTCCTCACCTGTCTCTCACCTACCCTACTCCTCTCAGGTAACCCTAAACTGTTCCTCACCTGTCTCTCACCTACCCTACTCCTCTCAGGTAACTCTAACCTGTTCCTCACCTGTCTCTCACCTACCCTGCTCCTCTCAGGTAACCCTAAACTGTTCCTCACCTGTCTCTCAGGTAACCCTAACGTGTTCCTCACCTGTCTCTCACCTATCCTACTCCTCTCAGGTAACCCTAACCTACCCTACTCCTCTCAGGTAACCCTAAACTGTTCCTCACCTGTCTCTCACCTACCCTACTCCCCTCAGGTAACCCTAAACTGTTCCTCACCTGTCTCTCACCTACCCTGCTCCTCTCAGGTAACCCTAAACTGTTCCTCACCTGTCTCTCACCTACCCAAATCCTCTCAGGTAACCCTAACCTGTTCCTCACCTGTCTCTCACCTACCCTACTCCTCTCAGGTAACCCTAAACTCTTCCTCACCTGTCTCTCACCTACCCTACTCCTCTCAGGTAACCCTAACGTGTTCCTCACCTGTCTCTCACCTACCCTACTCCTCTCAGGTAACCCTACCCTGTTCCTCACCTGTCTCTCACCTACCCTACTCCTCTCAGGTAACCCTACCCTATCCTACTCCTCTCAGGTAACCCTACCCTACCCTACTCCCCTCACTTAACCCTACCCTGTTCCTCATCTGTCTCTCACCTACCCTACTCCTCTCAGGTAACCCTAAACTGTTCCTCACCTGTCTCTCACCTACCCTACTCCTCTCAGGTAACCCTAAACTGTTCCTCACCTGTCTCACACCTACCCCACTCCTCTCAGGTAACCATTGTCCGTCCGTCAGCAGGTAACTCAGACCTGCCCACAACTTAACTTCCTCATCCTTCCTCCATGGTTATACACCTCAGTTCCACTAATATTCCTCTGGGTTCAGGCATCTAGCCTACAACTCTTTGCTGCCACAATTCCTGATCTCAAGTATACAGAGAATATGTGCCCTTCTCCCTCATTTCCTGTATTGTACTGTCATCAGAGCATTGGCATATGAACATTAAATAAGGGAGAAGACCACATGTATACTTTTTGAGTGTACTACTTCGCAGTGTGTGAGTGTGGATAGCACTCTCTTAAACCCATCTCATCATGCCCATCGCTCTCCGCCCAGGTATGTCATCCAGTCGGATGCGAGGCAGTGGCCAGTCCCCTCTGTCCATGCGGGTCCCTGTCAAAGCCATGGGCTCCATGCCGGGGGCCCACCAGCCCTCCAGGGGCCTGCCTGTAGTCCAGAGTGTACCCAATGGAGGGGTACGGAGGATCCAGTCCCCAGGGCCTGCCAACGGGGGAGCCTACCCAGCCGGGAGAGCCTCTACTGGGGGTGGGAGGCAAGCAGCAGCCCCATCCTCCAGGGGAAGACTGGCACAGACACCTAGAAGGTGATTAATTAATTAATTGATTGATCGATCGTTTAGAAATACACATTCAGCATTATGACTTGGGATGATTACTCAAAGTGAGTTGATAAGAGTGTGATTTTCAGTACAGTCATTTCGTTGGTTAAACGTGATTACTCCTTATCAGTGGAGGGCACAAACCGTTTGAATGGCACTCTTACAGGTATCAAGACTTATGTTATTGTTGTCTTTGTTTGTTAGGTCTATGGGGATGACTAGAATGAATGGCCCAATCTCAAATGAGTCGTGGAGAGACGGCTGCTACTGAGGCAACAAGGAAACTTCCTCCACCTCTCTCCTTTACCTTACGTTTTAGTATAAACAACACCAACATTACGTACTGACTCTGAACGTACCCCTGTAGGCAACACCAACGTACTTGCCTCTGAACGTACCGCTGTCCTCTGAACATACCTCTGTAGGCTGGACCACTGTAGATGAACAGACCTTCCCTGGCATGGAGAACCCTCACACCACGGTTCCATTGGAGACCGGGTAGAGAGTGACTGAGAGCACATACACACACCGTTCGCTCTATGGACCTAGACAGAGCTTCCAGAGTACAGAAGATGTTGTTTTTAACAAGTCGATTCCAATTCCAGTCTATATTTTATGATGATAGTTGAGAGAAGACTAAGGGTTGTTATTTGATTTGTTTGTTGTTCTGTAGATGTACAAATTATTGAAGACTTTGAATGGACTGTTTGTTCTATTGTGGGTGAAGTTGAACTCTGACTGATATGAAGGTAGGGCGGCAGGTAGCTTAGTGGTTAAGAGCATTGTGCCAGTAACCGAAAGGTCGCTGGTTCTAATCCCCGAGCCGACTAGGTGAAAAATCTGTCGATGTGCCCTTGAGCAAGGCACTTAACCCTATTTGCTCCTGTAAGTCGCTCTGGATAAGAGCGTCTGCTAAATGACCAATTATTTTTATTAATTATAAGGTGATCTCATCTGTAACTTGGGTTTTGCATGATGTTTTAGTTTTTTCTTTCCTCCAAATTAGTTGTTCTTATATAATAGCCTTATAAATAATAAGTCTGTTCTTCCAAGGAACAACCTCCATGTTGGTGTGTGTGGGAAGGTTTTTTGATTGGTTGTGATTCCCCTATAATTATAAGTGTTGTATATTTGTGTGTTGCAGAATCTGACACAACAACGCAACTGCTCTGGACCACACTGCCTTTCCATCAAGACCCCCTTAAGAAACATTTAAAAACAAACGTTATTGTTGGGATAAATTATTTGTGCCAAGGTGCATATCTGTTGCTGCAGCACTGTTGTTTCTAAAATCCAATGAAGTACTACTTGTAGTTGAGTTAATGTATGCATTGATTTACCACAGTTGTTTTTACTGCATATTGGTAGTTGAATCTGAGTGTTGGTTTTTGAATACCACTGTACTATTAAAATAAACGGTTTATGCATGAAGCAAAGGTCTTATGCCTTTTCTAAGAGACAACCAGCTATGGAGCCTCATGCGGAGTGCCTCTGAAAATCAGGAACTGTAATGAAAATGAACAATAAAACCTACCCAGAACTTGAATGTTTACTTTGTTTCTCATGTAGATGCTCTTCCTGCACAGACCAGAGATTGATGTGCTGTAGGCTGGAACAAATTATGGTAATAAAAAAAAATCTGTTCCGTTTTTGAAACTCAGAATCTAAGAGTAATCCTACTGTTATGTCTTATTGAACCAGGCAATAAGTTGGTCTATTCCAAAATGTGTAATGTCATTATAGTAGGGGACCATTTTTTTTATTAGGAAATATGAATGATGAGTGTATGCACATGATCGATTGTAACTTCAATGCACTGCTGTCCTTGCTCTATCCAATGTTGAACCCTGCCTGATAATCACACACATATAAACACAAATGTATATTCTTATTTCATCAACTGCTGTAACAATCCGGATCAATAGGTAAATAGTACGTTCTCTCGGTGTCAATTTGACAACATCGATTTGGACTCAAAGCTTTCCCTTCCGTGACGCAAATAGACAGGGATCAGCGCTAAACGAGGCCACGCATTGTCTGCCCTCCCTTGGTTGCGAGCGAGCAACGTGATTGGCCCAGGCCTCGGAATGAGTGCCCGGTGATCCAAATGTACAGGCCGCATTTACCTTAGTGTCGAAAAAATAAACCCAAACAATAACAGACAAAACCAAGAAAGAAGAAATAACGACGATACATTTGAAGGAGTGCATAATCAGGTAAAACATTTCGAAACGATTGAAATTGCATATCGTATATGAGACTAGGGCCCAGTCGGCCGTTGCGGGCCGCCTTCAGCCCGTCGGAAAACAACATGGTTGATAATGCCGCATGCGCTAGCTAACATGCTAGGCTAGCTAGCTAATGTCCCTTCGCAATTACAAATGCATCGAGAAATGTTGTGAATGCACACGTCGATTGTATTTACTTTGTGGTATCGATTGTGTGTCATGTAATACCAATCGTTGATTTGTGGAGGTTTCTGGAATTTTAAAACACGTTAGCTAACAAGCTACCTAACCAAAATGGCGGAAGCGAGGCTAACGTTGTTGTGGGCGCAACGTTTCAGATATAAATATATCGTAAAGAACAGCCATTAAGCACAACACACACTGTTCAACGACTTATTACTGTTCTATACATCCCTTTCTTTGCAGTATTGCACAACGTTGCGTTTGTGGAATTTCCCCCCAGATGTCGGCATCAGCCGCAAAACGTCTGCACGGCGCCAAACAAGCTTGCTTAGCTAACTAGGTACCTTGTCTAGTTATTAGCTACTGTTAGCTGGCTAGCCCGATACACATAGCCCAACCAATGAATGTGGATTGACTAACTAACATGTTTGAAAGTGTTACCACGTACATTTGGCAATCAGGTGGCGGTAGTAACACTAGGTAGTTGGTTGGTTATCTTGATTTGTTTTAAATAGCGAGTGCTCGCTAGCTTGCCCTGCTTCAGATGCACAATCCAGGCAACCATGAAATTGGCAATGAATGGTGGGCGTGTGTGGAACAGCGCAAATCATTGCAATTAACAAGCAGGAAAAACAACATATCCGTTCTAGGTCCTTTTCGATATTGAAAGCTGGAATGGTCTCATAGTATAAATATATGGCCCAATATCTCATTCATTCATATTCCATATGAGCTAGGACTGACTTAAATGGCATCAACAAGTGTTAAGTAATCAATAGTTTCCACTGCAGCACCAATTAAGTATGTGGTCATATTTTTCCAGCCATTCATTTTGGCAAGACAGACAGCAGCTAGAATACTGCAGTTTCAACATCCTTATCATAATAAAATAGCTTACACAGAGGACGTTTGTGAGGGATCCGATATCTACTGGATATGTGATGATGTCATCAGCCTTTCCCACATTTCCTCTCGTGGTCCAGGGATGAAGTGTTTTCAGTGGCATCTATCTCACAGCTGATGTTGTCCCTTCTTCGCAGTGTTCTCTCCCCCGATGGAAGGAAGAAACACCAGCAACACCCTGTTCTTATTTTAGAGAGCATTGGCATCAAATGTGAAGGTAATACACACTGACACTAGTCAATATCCAGGGCCTGTATCCACATAGTGTCAGAGTAGGAGTACTGATCTAGGATCTGTCCATACAATATAATTCATTATGATCTAAAGGCCAAACTGATCCTAGTTCAGCCCTCCTACTCTGAGATGCTTTGTGGATACCGGCCCAAATCCTCTGACATTCTTGAATTCTCACGCAGTGTGTAACGAATATAGAACCTCTGAAATGATGTGTAGGCCTAACAATAATAATTTGATTGAAGCCTTTTTTTAAGATCAAAGAGATGGACGACGGCGGAGGGGTCTTGGAGCTACACACACAGGAGTTAAAGATGCCTCACACCATGATCATGCAAGACTTTGGTAGGTCAATATGGCCTTGTGATAATGTATATGTTGTGTTCGTTAGTCTTCACTTGATAGCCCAATGCCTCATGCAAAGTTAGATGCTGACCACTCTACAGCAATGTCATCTGTAGCTGTATCTTAGTACTTTTTTTTTGTGCTTTTCCACTAAGAGGAAAGCCTGGAAAAGCCTCAGGCCAAACCAGGGCTGCAGTGGGAAAACATTCCTGTAATAATATTACCCCTCTTACTGTTTCCCTGTACAGTGGCAGGAATGAGGGGCCTGGCCCACATCGACGGGGATCACATTGTGGTGTCCGTGCCAGAGGGCATGCTCCTGTCTGACATCATGACGGACGAAGGCATCCTGCTGGAGCACGGCCTGGAGGTGGAGGGCCTCGAGTCGGAGGTGGAGGTGGAAGGCCTAGAGACGGAAGTTGAAGGCTTTGGAGAGGAGCTGGTGGAGCTGGAGACACAGATGGTTGAGTGCCTGGAGACGGATGTGGTCGAGGGCCTGGAGACGGATGTGGTCGAGGGCCTGGAGACGGATGTGGTCGAGGGCCTGGAGACGGATGTGGTCGAGGGCTTGGAGACGGATGTGGTCGAGGGCCTGGAGACGGAGGTAGAAGTGGAGGGCCTGGAGACGGAGGTAGAAGTGGAGGGCCTGGAGGCGGAGGTAGAAGTGGAGGGCCTGGAGGCGGAGGTAGAAGTGGAGGGCCTGGAGGCGGAGGTAGAAGTGGAGGGCCTGGAGGCGGAGGTAGAAGTGGAGGGCCTGGAGGCGGAGGTAGAAGTGGAGGGCCTGGAGGCGGAGGTAGAAGTGGAGGGCCTGGAGGCGGAGGTAGAAGTGGAGGGCCTGGAGGCGGAGGTAGAAGTGGAGGGCCTGGAGGCGGAGGTAGACGTGGAGAGCCTGGAGGCGGAGGTAGACGTGGAGGGCCTGGAGGCGGAGGTAGACGTGGAGGGCCTGGAGGCGGATGTGGTCGAGGGCCTGGAGGCGGAGGCGGAAGTGGAGGGCCTGGAGGCGGAGGCGGAAGTGGAGGGCCTGGAGGCGGAGGCGGAAGTGGAGGGCCTGGAGGCGGAGGTGGAAGTCGAGGGCCTCGAGGAAGAGGTAGAGGTCCTAGAGGAAGACCTAGAGACGGAGGTGATTGAAGGCCCTGACATCGGCCACGAGCACTTGCTGGGGGCCGAGGTGGCCATCGAGGAGGCTATGGACTCTCACCATCACCACCATGTTCTAACCTCAGACCTCATTCAGGGCTCCGTCCACCATCACCACCACCACATGCCAGACCAGCTCTTTGTGGAGCACCAGGAGGAGGACGGGGTGGAGGGCTTGGACCAGGAGGTGATGGTTGGGGAGGACGTGGGGCAGGAGGAGACAGTGATCCAGGCCCACGAGGAGCTGGAGGTGAAGGCTGTCTCTCTGCAGACTGATGAGGAGGAGGAGGAGAAGAGCACCTCGGAGGACTACCTCATGATCTCCTGTGAGTCAACTAACCAACTAGCCCTACAAACTACACTGAACAAAAATATAAACGCAACATGTAAAGTGTCGTTCCCATGTTTCATGAGCTGAAATAAAAGATCCCAGAAATGTTCAGTACTCACATAAAGCATATTTCTCTCAAATGTTGTACACAAATTTGTTTACATCCCTGTTAGTGAGCATTTCACCTTTCCTAAGTTAATCCATCCACCTGACAGGTGTGGCATATCAAGAAGCTGATAAAACAGCATGATTATTACACAGGTGCACCTTGTGTTGGGGACAATAAAAGGCCACTCTAAAATGTTGCATGGATCTGTACACAATTCCTGGACGCTGAAAATGTCACAGTTCTTCCATGGCCTGCGTACTCACCAGACATGTCACCAATTTAGCATGTTTGGGATGCTCTGGATCGACGTGTATGACGGCGTGTTCCAGTTCCCGCCAATATCCAGCAACTTCGCACAGCCATTGAAGAGGAGTGGGACAACTTTCCACAGGCCACAATCAACAGCCTGATCAACTCTATGCGAAAGAGATGTCGCGCTGCATGAGGCGAATGGTGGTCACACAAGATACTGACTGGTTTTCTGATCCACTCCCCTTTTTTTGTTAAAGTGTCTGTGACCAACAGATGCATATAATAATAAATATAATAATATGCCATTTAGCAGACGCTTTTATCCAAAGCGACTTACAGTCATGCGTGCATACATTCTTGTGTATGGGTGGTCCCGGGGATCGAACCCACTACCTTACATTTGACATTTTAGTCATTTAGCAGACGCTCTTATACAGAGCGACTTACAGTTAGTGCATACATTATTTTATCGATCCCACAACCCTGGCGTTGCAAACGCCATGCTCTACCAACTGAGCTACATCCCCTGTAAACATAATAATAATAATTTAATGCGAAGGCAACATTCTATCCACCCACTCATAGCATAGATGGCCTCCCACTTACCTCCCCTCCCCTACAGTCACATTCTCAAGCTGAGGCGGCTTTCTTCTGAAGAAATATAACAGCAACAAGCTAAATCAGACATGGAAACCTTTTTAAAGAAGGAACAGTGAGTTTTTCTCTCCAAAAGCATTTTGTAATGCTCTGTTCTTAGCATTACAAGAACGGACTGGCACATCCCCATAACGTCTTTTACTTTGACATTCCTGACAAACGATAGATTAACACCTTGGCGTTACAAGCGCCGTGCTTTACCAGCTGAGCTACAGAGGACCACCATATCTCTATTCCCAGTCATGTGAAATCCATAGATTAGGGCCTAATTAATGTTTTTCAATTGACTGATTTCCGTATATTAACTGTAATTCAGTAATATCTTTGAAATTGTTGCATATTGCGTTTTATTTTTGTTCAGTGTATAATAAGGGTTGATTTCATTGAATGATTTGCTATGATCAGTGATCTACAGTGTGGGGTTTTGTATTTAAATCATTGTTGACGACTACTGCAAATTAATAGGCTAGAATATATCTGAAGTATTGTTTGGAGACAGTTTCTGAAGTCCATTTTGAGAGCATTTCATGAGCTCTTGGCGTTTTTGCCTCCCAAGTCCTTGTTATTGTCCTACCCTTCTGCGCGGTAAAAGCTAACTGTGATGTGTTATTTGTGTCCATCCAGTGGATGACGTTGGTGAGAAGCTGGACATAGGAGACACTCCTCTAGAGATAACTACTGAGGTGCAGGACGACTGCTCCAACAAGGAGGGGTCAGAGGTCATTAAGGTCTATATTTTCAAAGCAGAGGCCGATGACGATGTGGAGATAGGTGAGTGGTACTTCTGTCACGTTCAAAACAACTGGGAACGCGGAAAAAACCCAGCTCCGACTGGGGAAAAATCGGTTTGAACGGTCATCCAACTTGGAATCTCAACTCGGAAACTCTGGCATCTTTCTAGAGCTACGACTTTCCGACCTGAAGATCACCGACGTTATGATTTGACCTTGGTTATTTCAGAGTTCCCAGTTGTCTTGAAAGCATCATTCTTTCATGAACGAGGCCGACATTTCAAGAGCCACGTCAATTGAAACGTGAAGCAGTATTTGCATATTGTGAATGACATTGAACTATTATCTTCTAGCGTGAAGTATCAGCTACATACAGTGGGGAGAACAAGTATTTGATACACTGCCGATTTTGCAGGTTTTCCTACTTACAAAGCATGTAGACGTCTGTAATTTTTATCATAGGTACACTTCAACTGTGAGCGACGGAATCTAAAACAAAAATCCAGAAAATCACATTGTATGATTTTTAAGTAATTAATTTGCATTTTATTGCATGACATAAGTATTTGATACATCAGAAAAGCAGAACTTAATATTTGGTACAGAAACCTTTGTTTGCAATTACAGAGATCATACGTTTCCTGTAGGTCTTGACCAGGTTTGCACACACTGCAGCAGGGATTTTGGCCCACTCCTCCATACAGACCTTCTCCAGATCCTTCAGGTTTCGGGGCTGTCGCTGGGCAATACAGACTTTCAGCTCCCTCTAAAGATTTTCTATTGGGTTCAGGTCTGGAGACTGGCTAGGCCACTCCAGGACCTTGAGATGCTTCTTACGGAGCCACTCCTTAGTTGCCCTGGCTGTTTGTTTCGGGTCGTTGTCATGCTGGAAGACCCAGCCACGACCCATCATCAATGCTCTTACTGAGGGAAGGAGGTTGTTGGCCAAGATCTCGCGATACATGGTCCCATCCATCCTCCACTCAATACTTTGCAGTCGTCCTGTCCCCTTTGCAGAAAAGCATCCCCAAAGAATGATGTTTCCACCTCCATGCTTCACGGTTGGGATGGTGTTCTTGGGGTTGTACTCATCCTTCTTCTTCCTCCAAACACGGCGAGTGGAGTTTAGACCAAAAAGCTCTATTTTTGTCTCATCAGACCACATGACCTTCTCCCATTCCTCCTCTGGATCATCCAGATGGTCATTGGCAAACTTCAGACGGGCCTGGACATGCGCTGGCTTGAGCAGGGGGACCTTGCGTGCGCTGCAAGATTTTAATCCTTGACGGCGTAGTGTGTTACTAATGGCTTTCTTTGAGACTGTGGTCGCAGCTCTCTTCAGGTCATTGACCAGGTCCTGCCGTGTAGTTCTGGGCTGATCCCTCACCTTCCTCATGATCATTGATGCCCCACGACGTGAGATCTTGCATGGAGCCCCAGACCAAGGGTGATTGACCGTCATCTTGAACTTCTTCCATTTTCTAATAATTGCGCCAACAGTTGTTGCCTTCTCACCAAGCTGCTTGCCTATTGTCCTGTAGCCCATCCCAGCCATGTGCAGGTCTACAATTTTATCCCTGATGTCCTTACACAGCTCTCTGGTCTTGGCCATTGTGGAGAGGTTGGAGTCTGTTTGATTGAGTGTGTGGACAGGTGTCTTTTATACAGGTAACGAGTTCAAACAGGTGCAGTTAATCCAGTAATGAGTGGAGAACAGTAGGGCTTCTTAAAGAAAAACTAACAGGTCTGTGAGAGCCGGAATTCTTACTGGTTGGTAGGTGATCAAATACTTATGTCATGTAATAAAATGCAAATTAATTACTTAAAAATCATACAATGTGTTTTTCTGGATTTTTGTTTTAGATTCCGTCTCTCACAGTTGAAGTGTACCTATGATAAAAATTACAGACCTCTACATGCTTTGTAAGTAGGAAAACCTGCAAAATCTGCAGTGTATCAAATACTTGTTCTCCCCACTGTATATGAAAATTATACTTTAGATGGTAAGTTTTCCCTAGAGGAGTAGCGAGATGGCATAAACTGTGTGTGACTAGCTAGGTTTCCATCCAATTGGCGACAGATTTTCATGCGAGTATTCAAAAATCTGCATAAAGAAAATATGCGCATTTTGCCACCAGTGGTGTTTTCAACAAACGGACTTGTTGCTGATAAAAATCAGTGCGTGATGATGTATTGCAATCAATGTACTTTTTCGCTTAAGTTTTCATGTACTGAATAAAAATCTAAAGTTCAATGTGTTTCCATTGCATTTGCAACTCTACCGATAGTTTTTTCTCAAACTGTTGCGTTAAATAGCAGATGTGCCTACTCGGGTCTTGGCACAACAGCTGACAGATATAGTGCGGGTAGCCTAGTCTACATGAGATTATTATGGATGATAGCCAGAATATTTTTTATTTGTCGAACGGCAGTCAAGCATTGATCATCATGTCACCAGAACAAGACCTTCAGTATTTATTAGAAAGGAGCATCAAGATCACCGTGAACTTTCACCACCCTGTGAAGTTCATCATAACTATTTCATCTGTAGCCTAATAAACTATGCTTTCCCGAGTCATAGTGAGAGGACTACACACCATATCATCACGTGACTCCAAGTTTACTTCGATATGATGGTTATTATATCAATATTTGCGCATAGAGGTGTTTCCACCGCCATTTCTCGCATAATTAATTTTACAGACACAAAAAGATCCCACCATGTCGAATGAACAAATTTATCTGTCACCATTTATAAAATTGTACCAAAGCTTCCTGTTTCCATCACAGCTGTTGTGATTTTTTTTTTAAATACGGTATTACTTTTTACTCGCATAAAAACTGTGGATGGAAGCGTGGTTACTGTCTGTGTCTGTAGGTGGGACAGAGGTGGAGTCTGAGAGTGACTTCCATAACGGCCACCATGTTGTGCGGGAGTCTGGGGGAGGAGGCAGGCATGGCCGGGGGGAGAAGATGCTCTACATGGCTGTGAAGGACCACTCCCAGTCAGAGGACGAGATCAGTGAGTATACACTCTTCTTTAAAGAAATAACTCCTCTCACATGACTGCATCTGTGAAGGCTTCTTAGTGGAACCCTTCATTTCAGTCATGTGATCAAACACGTGATCAAACACGACTCCAACAAAGGTTCCAACAAATAGCTTTCACAGGTGCAGCTCAAAAGGATTTGAACAGGGCTTGGGGCAAATGAAGAAAGTGTTTGTTCCTGTCCTGTAACTGACTGTCTGTGTCTGTGTCTCTCTGTTTTCCAGACCTGGCCGACATGGCTGAGCAGGTGTAGGTGATTGGTGGTGAGGAGGAGGGTTAGGGTTGTTACTGAATCTGTCTGTCTCTGTGTGTTTCCAGACATGGCAGAGCAGGTGTACATGGAGGTGATTGTAGGAGAGGAGGAGGCCTCTGCAGTCCAGGAGAACCAGATAGATGACTCTCCGAACAGCAAGATGTTTGTCCCAATCTCCTGGGCTGCAGCCTATGGTAAGGAATAAGGATCGTGTGATCAACTGGTTTTATATTCAGTAATAGCAGTATTCCTTCAGCTGGATATAAGACACACGACTATGGGCTCTATTTTAACAAACCTAACGTAATGGGAAATCCAAGCGCTGGCGGTAGCGCTATCGGTTCAAATGATCGTCACAGTGCTGGCGTTGCCGCGAAAGGCTGGGTTTTGATAAATAAACAAATTGTGGGTGTGTTAAGGCTTGGCCCCTCACTGGCCAATCATAACGTGCTCCATGGCTAACTAAATATGTGGTTGCTTCAAGTTGTGTATTTACGGTCTTTTATGTATTGCCTTGGAATCAACTCCAATTCCAATGTTAGTCCGTTATAGTTTGTTAAACATCTTACAGAAACAAAATAACTTGAACCTGTTTGCAGTCCACATTGTTCTACACTGAACAAAAATATAAACGCAACATGTGAAGTGTTGGTCCCATGTTTCATGAGCTGAAATAAAAGATCCCAGAAATCTTCCATACTCACAAAAAGCTTATTTCTCTCAAATTTTGTGCACAAATGTGTTTACATCCCTGTTAGTGAGCATTTCTCCTTTGCCAAGATAATCCATCCACCTGACAGGTGTGGCATATCAAGAAGCTGATGAAACAGCATGATCATTACACAGGTGCACCTTGTGCTGGGGACAATGAAAAGCCACTCTAAAATGTACAGTTTTGTCACACAGCACAATGCCAGAGATGTCTCAAGTTTTGAGGGCGCGTGCAATTGGAATGCTGACTGCAGGAATGTCCAACAGAGCTGTTGCCAGAAAATTGAATGTTCATTTCGTGTGGGCGAGCGGTTTGCCGATGTCAGCGTTGTGAACAGAGTGCCCCATGGTGGGGTTATGGTATGGGCAGGCGTAAGCTACGGCCAACGAACACCGCTACGGACAAGAGATACCGTGACGAGATCCTGAGGCCCATTGTCGTGCCATTCATCCGCCGCTATCACCTCATGTTTCAGCATGATAAGGCACGGCCCCATGTCGCAAGGATCTGTACACAATTCCTGGAAGCTGAAAATAGCCCAGTTCTTCCATGGCCTGAATACTCACCAGACATGTCACCCATTGAGCATGTTTGGGATGCTCTGGATTGATGTTTACAACAACGTGTTCCAGTTCCCGCCAATATCCAGCAACTTTGCACAGCCATTGAAGAGGAGTGGGACAATATTCCACAGGCCACATTCAACAGCCTGATCAACTCTATGCGTAGGAGATGTGTCGCTCTGCATGAGGCAAATGGTGGTCACACCAGATACTGACTGGTTTTCTGATCCTACCTTTTTTTTAAAGGTATCTGTGATCAACAGATGCATATCTGTATTGTCAGTCGTGTGAAATCCCTAGATTAAGGTCTAATGAATTTATTTCAATTGACTGATTGCCTTATGTGTTAAAATCTTTGAAATTGTTGCGTTTTATATTTTATATTGTTGCATTCGGACTCCTCCCTTTTTCCAAATGTTGTTACATTACAGCCTTATTCTAAAATTGATTACATTTAAATGTTTTCCTCATCAATCAACTCACAATAACCCATAATGACAAAGCGAAAACAGGTTTTTAGAAATTGTAGCAAATTTATTAAAAATAAACAGATACCTTCTTTACATAAGTATTCAGACCCTTTGCTATGAGACTCAAAATTGAGCTCAGGTGCATCCTGTTTCCATTGATCATCCTTGAGATGTTTCTACAACTTGATTGGAGTCCACCTTTGGTAAATTCAATTGAGTGGACATGATTTGGAAAGGCACACACCTGTCTATATAAGGTCCCACAGTTGATAGTGCATGTCAGAGCAAAAACCAAGCCATGAGGTAGAAGGAATTTTCCAAAGATTTCTGAAACAGGATTGTGTCGAGGCAAAGATCTGGGAAGGGTACCAACACGTTTCTGCAGCATTTAACGTCCCCAAGAACACAGTGGCCTCCATCATTCTTCAATGGAAGAAGTTTGGAACCACCAAGACTCTTCCTAGAGCTGGCCACCCGGCCAAACTGAGCAATAGGGGGAGAAGGGCCTTGGTCAGGGAGGTGACCAAGAACCCGATGGTCACTCTGACAGAGCTCCAGAGTTCCTCTGTGGAGATAGGAGAACCTTCCAAAAGGACAACCATCTCTGCAGCACTCCACCAATCAGGCCTTTATGGTAGAGTGGCCAGACGGAAGCCACTCCTCAGTAAAAGGCACATGACAGCCCGCTTGGAGTTTGCCAAAAGGTACCTAAAGGACTCTCAGACTATGAGAAACAATATTCACTGGTCTGATGAAACCAAGATTGAACTCTTTGGCCTGAATCCAGAGCGCTCATGACCTCAGACTGGGGCGAAGGTTCACCTTCCAACAGGACAATGACCCTAAGCACACAGCCAAGACAACAAGTCTCTGAATGTCCTTGAGTGGCCCAGCCAGAGCCCAGACTTGAACCCAATCGAACATCTCTGGAGAGACCTGAAAATAGTTGTGCAGCGACGCTCCCCATCCAACCTGACAGAGCTTGAGAGGATCTGCAGAGAAGAATGGGAGAAACTCTCCAAATACAGGTGTGCCAAGCTTGTAGCGTCATACCCAAGAAGACTCAAGTCTGTAATCGCTGCCAAAGGTGCTTCAACAAAGTACAGAGTAAAGAGTCTGAATACTTATGTAAATGTAATATTTTCTTGCTTTGTCATTATGGGGTATTGTGTGTAGATTGGGAAAAAAAACAATTGAATCCATTTTAGAATAAGGCTGTAACGTAACAAAATGTGGAAAAAGTCAAGGGGTCTGAGTACTTTCAGAAATCAGTTTCTCCCCTCTGCTGTTTTATATGTAGATAAGTCTGTTCTCCCCTCTGCTGTTTATATGTAGATAACAGTCTGTATACAGTGAAGAATACAGGGACCAGGCCATACCTTCAGATCAGAGACAGCCAGGGTACCAGCAGAGCCCTCAAACAGAAGATCAAGAAGAAGGGAGATGCACGGCAGTGCCAGACAGGTACAGAAAGACAGACATTACATCATCCCTTCGGCTGACATCAGCCCAAAGAACATACAGCTAGTCTCCTCAATATATCACATGATCAGAGGGGTGAAAACATGGCGGAAATTATCTGTTGCTTTTTTTTGTTGTTGCTTGAACTTCAGCTTGTTGTTAGACCTTGTAGTGAGTTTTGATCTACTCCTCGGTAACATACAGTATCTCTCTGCTCTCTGTCTCATCCCAGCTGTGATCATCGGTCCAGACGGCATGCCGCTGACCGTCTACCCCTGTCACATCTGTGGTAAAAAGTTCAGGTCACAAGGCTTCCTCAAGTGCCACATGAAGAACCATCCTGACCACCACCTCAAGAAGAAGTACCAGTGTACCGACTGTAACTTCACCACCAATAAGAAGGTCTCTGTCGCCTTTCATATCTCTGATGTTCCCGTCATTTGACTTTTTCTGTTATTACTCTCCTCTTTGTTTCTCCCGCTCCTCTCCATTTCATTCTTTCTATTCGTTTATGTTATTTAAGCAATAATGCCTGAGAACCCGGGAATGACTTCGGAGAAGGTCTGTTCTGAGGCCCAAGGCAGCCCTTGGAGGGACTTGTACCACTATAATTCCCGGGTTCGAGGTCGTTATTGCTTTTATGAAACGGTTGCCAACATATTTATAAAAATATTAATTAAATTGTATAATTAAAAACGTTATTTTAATGAGTACATTTGTTTCTGCATTCTGAAGTTGCTACACAATCAGGCTGGTCATTAGTTATTTTCTCATGTTTTGACGCAGTCGTTCATTCTATTCATTTGACTTTGCTATGCTAAACAAATCATTGGTATGTAGCGAGCTAGCAGAGATTAAATGATGATGAGAGACAAGAACTTCAATAAATAATAATTTAATAAATACCCAATAGGCCTACATAGGTCACACTACGCTGGTTAATGAATGAATGGAATTCTGAGTGTTTACTGTTTCCATGGTGAATAATTTGTTTCACGTTCATTCTTGGCCTAGCTAGCCTATTGGCACGGAGAGATCGCATTTGTAAAATGATACATTGTTGCACAGGTCGTCGAGGCAGACAGGTAGGTTTATACAACCCCCAACTGAAGCAAACCAAATGGTAGCATGGAAAGAATTATGTGTAGATGCTTTTTTCCCTTGGGAGATAACGTTTATGAATTTCCTGCCTGGACAGTGGAATTATTAGATGAATACGTCATGGTATTTTGCACACATCAACCAATCAGGATCCAAACAACCTGTTTCATATAATATTACGTTGTTATTGTTGTTGACATTTGTTGTTGAAATTGTTTCCCTCCCTACTGCTCCCTGTTAAGTGTGTTGCGCTTGTGACATGTCTGTTTTGTTTTTGAAGGTCAACTTCCACAACCACCTGGAGTCCCACAAGCTACTGGTCCATCGCAGTGACAGAGACAGAACCTCTTCCACAAAGTACCCAGAATACAACGGGACCACCCCAGACTACCCAGAATACAACAGGACCACCCCAGAGTACCCAGAATACAACAGGACCATCCCAGAGTACACAGAGTACACCCGGCGTTACCACGAAGACAGCCAGCTAGGGTCTAACAAGCTGATCCTGAGAGACAAGGAGTCCAAACTGCACCACTGTAAGTACTGTGACTATGAGACTGCGGAGCAGGGGCTCCTCAACCGCCACCTACTGGCCGTTCACAGTAAGAACTTCGCCCACGTGTGCGTGGAGTGCGCTAAAGGCTTCCGTCACCCGTCAGAGCTGAAGAAGCACATGCGGACCCACACGGGTGAGAAGCCGTACTGCTGCCCGCACTGTAACTTTTGCTGTGCAGACCAGTCCAACCTAAAGACTCACATCAAGAGCAAGCACAGTGCTGACCTGCCTTTTAAGTGTGGCCACTGCCCCCAGGCCTACGCAGACGAGGGAGAGCTGCAGCGGCACACAGAGATGGTGCAGGGCCACAAGACCCACCAGTGCCCCCACTGTGAACACAAGAGCACCAACTCCTCTGATCTAAAACGCCACATCATATCTGTTCACACTAAAGACTTCCCACACCAGTGTGACGTGTGTGAGAAGGGCTTCCACCGGCCCTCTGAGCTGAAGAAACACTCGGAGACGCACAAGGGCAACAAGGTGCACCAGTGCAGGCACTGTAACTTCACGACCTCTGACCCTTTCACCCTCAGCAGACACATCCTGTCCGTTCACACCAAGGACCTCCCCTTTAAGTGTAAACGCTGCCGGCGAGGGTTCCGCCAGTCCACGGAGCTGAAGAAACACATGAAGACTCACAGCGGGAGGAAGGTGTACCAGTGTCAGTACTGCGAGTACAACAGCCCGGACGCTTCGGGATTCAAACGCCACGTGATCTCGATCCACACCAAGGAATACCCCCACTGCTGTGGCTACTGTTCTAAAGGCTTCCGAAGGCCCTCGGAGAAGAGCCAGCACATAGCCAGACATCACAAAGACATGCTGATGGAACGATGTTAATACAATGTTGACACAACGTTACCCGGACAGACACAGACTGGCACCCACACTCCTCCCTCCTTAGTCTACGTAGACCCGTTTCACACGACAAAGGGGGAACACGTTTAGGCAGTTGATAAGGATGGAATGGTACATTTAGACTGCTAGTGATGATAACATTCTGACTTAATGCTTGTTCTCGTTCTCCACTGGTTGTATAGAATAGGAATAGTTCTCCCCCCCCCCATTCCCTCTCCCCCCCATTCCCTCTCCCCCCCATTCCCTCTCCCCCAGATGTAATCAAACTAAGCGTATTGTGGAAGCTGTAGTCAGTTGGACGGTTGTAACTCTTTATGTATTTATTTTGCTGCAGAGAGAGGATTCACCATATGATGAACATTTATTCAGGGTCTCAAATTAAGTCTATTTTTATACATGTTGCAGTTGAAACTCTGGGGGGAAAAAACAGACTGTGTCCTCTAACTAATATAGGAAGTGGTTATTTGAGAACGTCATTCAGGCCTGTTGTTCTCTCTATCTTACCAGACTGTATCAAACTAGTGCATACAGGAGAGCTGCAATGCAATGCTCCACCAACTACCAACTAGTATCTCCAAACCTGGGTTCAAATTGTTTTTGAAATATTTCTTATACGTTTACCATTTGCTTTATCAGTGCCAGATGGAAGGGGTTTGGACTGTTGCGAATCTCTTGGTTCTATTGTGCCAGGCAAGCCCAGCTAAGGTATATATTTGAAATAGTTTTTGAACCCAGGTCTTAGTATCCTCCCAATAATCTGCTTTTTACCCTAGTACCGTTTGTTTTAAAGGCAATCTGTGAGGTCATAGGTCAGAGTGGAACAATGTTTACACAAGCACCTTAACCTACGAGCTACGAAACCAACTCATTTTTTTAAACAAACAGAACTTTGTTTCGTTTCTTAACAGTGCCGATTTATTATTAATTAAACTTGTTGAATGTTTTGATGTCATGTTAGGTGGACAGATGGTTCCGTTCTGTATGTTTGGTAAAAACTCCAGCAGTTTTCACCGCAGTTTTTTTTACCTTGTTGTGAATGCCACTGTAAGATTTGTATATGATGTGTACGTGTCATCACATAGAACACAGATGTGGTCACACAAGCCAACCATCCGATGGTAATCATGTCTTACATGTTCTGTTTCTCCTTGTGCACTGAGCTCTGCTAAAACAGAAATCTGAAACGTAAAGTGATTTTAAGTCTCAAACGTATGCCGTGTAAAAGTACCATTCTCTAAGAGATTATGTATGTTTGAGTCGGTAGAAAGCACTTTATTATTTTGTTAATTTAACATGTATGCAAAGGGTGTATAATTTATATTCCCTGAATATAAGAGACAATATGAGTGGTGGAGAGAGAGTTTGGGGTATTTCAGGACCTTCTATAGGTGATACGGTAGTGACCGGTATTCATCAAAATGTATTGTCAATAGAAAGATGTCTGATGAACTGTTCTGTTTTGAAAGCTCATAGGTAATTGGTTGGTCTTTCTGTTGAGATTTCTGCTCACTGGTATCCAGCAACCCCACAGTGACTGGGCTACACACACACCTTGAATACAACGGTTGAGAGATTGGCAATGGAGTCTTAAAGTATGCACATAATATGCTGTCCATGAAAAATCAATTGTGGTAAAAATTAATGCATTTTCTTGTACTTTTGTTGTCAAATTTTCTTTGTCTGATTGTTCAGAAACTACTGTTGAGGAGGAACCAAAATAAACAATTATCTTTTTAGTTTGTGCTTCCCTTTTTGGGGGATATTTTAATCCCAAATGGCACCCTATTTCCTAAAGCCTGTAAGGCTCTGGTGAAAAGTAGTGCACGGCAGGGGGATATAATGTGTCTAGTCTTGCTCAGTCATCACCACAAGATGGCGGTCTAACTCCATGGAAATTTTGAAAAATGAACCACTCAGTTGAACAACATAAATTACCAGATGAGATAAAATGCCTAGTCATTAACTTATGTCAAGAGTAGGTTACCTTATTGAAAATGGGGAAGGAGTACTTTTCTATGTACACTACCAGTCAAAAGTTTGGACATCCTATTCATTCCAGCGTTTTTCTTTATTTTTACTATTTTCTACATTGTAGAATAATAGTGAACACATCAAAACTATGAAATGACAAGTGGAATCATGTAGTAACCAAAAAAAGTGTTAAATCAAAATATATTAGAGATTCTTCAAAGTAGCCACCCTTTGCCTTGATAACAGGAGTATTTGACCAAGGAGAGTGATGGAGTGTTGCATCAGATGATCTGGCCTCCACAGTCACCCGACCTCAACCCAATTGAGATGGTTTGGGATGAGTTGGACGGCACAGTGATGGAAAAGCAGCCAACAAGTGCTCAGCATATTTTGGAACTCCTTCAAGACTGTTGGAAAAGCATTCCTCAAGAAGCTGGTTGAGATAATGCCAAGAGGGTGCCTACTTTGAAGAATATAAAATATATTAAGATTTGTTTAACACTTTTTTGGTTACTACATGATTCCATACGTGTTATTTCATAGTTTTGATTTCTTCATTATTATTCTACAATGTAGAAAATAGTACAATTAAATAAAAACCCTGGGCGCAGTGGTCTAAGGCACTGCATCGCAGTGCTAGCTGTGCCACTAGAGATCCTGGTTCGAGTCCAGGCTCTGTCACAGCCAGCCGCGACCGGGAGACCCATGGGCGGCGCACAATTGGTCCAGCGTCGTCCAAGGTAGGGGAGGGTTTGGCCGGCAGGGATGTGGGTTCGTTTCCCACGGGGGGCCAGTATGACAAAAAAAACAAAACAAAAAAACGTATGCATTCACTAACTGTTAGTCGCTCTGGATAAGAGCGTCTGCTAAATGACTAAAATGTAAATGTGTGTCCAAACTTTAGACTGGTACTGTATGTATCCAAAATGGCACCCTATTCCCTATGTAGGGTGGACGCTGGGGGGGATTAGTCCTGTAGTTGAGAAGATGCAGCCTGGGCTGCGTCAAGTAGTCCAGCCTAATTAATATTCAGAAGGGATGCTCTGGGCTGCATCAAGTAGGCCAGCCTAATTAATATTCAGTAGAAGGGATGCTCTAGGCTGCATCAAGTAGTCCAGCCTAATTAATATTCAGTAGAATGGATGCTCTGTGCTGCATCAAGTAGGCCAGCCTAATTAATATTCAGTAGAAGGGATGCTCTAGGCTGCATCAAGTAGGCCAGCCTAATTAATATTCAGAATGGATGCTCTGGGCTGCATCAAGTAGGCCAGCCTAATTAATATTCAGAATGGATGCTCTGGGCTGCATCAAGTAGGCCAGCCTAATTAATATTCAGAAGGGATGCTCTGGGCTGCATCAAGTAGCCCAGCCTAATTAATATTCAGTAGAAGGGATGCTCTAGGCTGCATCAAGTAGGCCAGCCTAATTAATATTCAGTAGAAGGGATGCTCTGGGCTGCATCAAGTAGGCCAGCCTAATTAATATTCAGTAGAAGGGATGCCTAATTAATAATGGTTTAGAGACAGTAGTAACAGTAATATGTTAATAATGGTTTAGAGACAGTAACAGTAATATGTTAATAATGGTTTAGAGACAGCAGTAACAGTAATATGTTAATAATGGTTTAGAGACAGCAGTAACAGTGCGTAATTGAAGTAATTTGATGTGGAGGTAGAAAACCAGAAAAATAGCTCTTCCCCTGCTTTTTGTAACCTCTCCCTCTCTCTGAAGACACTGCTGATGGACGATGCATCTCACAGGAGGGCCACGGAATAAAACAGGGTTAATGGT